CCCCAAAACCCCAAAACCCCAAAACCCCAAAACCCCTATAAACATTTCTTAGATTGATTATTTTATTAAAAAGTAAGTATGGACCCCCAGAATCTGTTCGTCATCTAATGCAACTATCTAGGACTAAGAATGGAATCAACAGAAGATACAGACGATAGGCTTAAGAATTATTATCATAAAATGGCAGACATGCATGTTAAGAACAATAACTATAAATCTGCATATGTTTACTACTCAGAAGCAGCTGAGAAGTACTATCAAGCCTCAAAGATGGCCAAAAGGGAAGACCTAGTGGAGGATATGAAAGAAAAATGTGCAAAGGTACTTAAAAAAGGTGAGATTTGAAAGAAGAGGCATAAAGAAAGCTTGAAAGATATGGACGGAGAGCTTAACAAATCAAAGAAAGTAAAACTTTTTAAGCACCTCTCTCTTAATGAGCAGAAGTATGTTTTTGAAAATATACATATTTATAAAGACCTTGCCAAGAGTTATACTACTGCATTTGGTAAAACGAAGGATAATCAATTCCTGCATGCAGTTTTTGAATCAAATAAACAAGCAGCATTTGCTTACATCCTAGGGTCAAAATACTGTGACGATGATGTTCTCTGTCTCAAATGGAATGCAGAAGGAAGAAAATTACTTGAAAAAACAGAGGCTTTGAAAGAAGAAATCTCACAAGAAGAGAAATATGATAAGTGGGACTGGTTGAAGAATAAATATACAAGTGATGAAAGATTGGTTATTAACAGGAGTTCAATTTTCAATGGAATTAAGGTGAACGCATGGCTTGTAGAAGACGGAGTTGTCAACATCATTCAAGAGAAGGTTTATCAAGACCCAGATGGATTCCCAGCTCTTTCTAATAGTCAAAACAAACACTTTGTTGGATTTAAAAGACCAAGAGATTTTATACAGAAGAAGTTCAAAAATCCTGTCATTAATATTGGTGATAATGTTTCAGGATTTGAGGTGAATCAGAATTCTGTGGGAGATTGTTCAGTTGTGGCAAGTTTAGCTCTTTCAGGGCACCTTGAGTCCAAGCTCAATTACACTAAGAGGATAATAACATGTAATATTTACCCTCAGGATAAATATCGGAATCCTATTTACAACCCTTTTGGTCAGTACGTTGTCAAATTGTACGTAAATGGATTATGGAGAGCAGTTAGAGTTGATGATTTCTTTCCGGTTGATTATGATAACAACGTTTTATGCTGCTACTCTACAAAAGGGAAACTGTGGTGTTCTCTCTTAGAGAAAGCCTACCTTAAGATGTGCAATGGGTACAACTTCGCAGGGAGTAACACTTCAAGAGATTTGTTTATTTTCACTTCTTGGTTGCCAGAAAGAAAGAATTTTGAGAAGGATTTCTCAAACAAAGATGACTTAAACAATCTTTGGGAGAGACTTGTTAGAGCTGACAAAACCAGAGATGTAATGGTCTCTATCAGCACTGGAAATCTTCCTAATGCTGATGATCTAGGCTTGGTGGAGAATCACGCTTATGCAGTCCTAGAGTTTATGGAGTTTGAGGATAAAAAATTTGTGATGGTGCTTAACCCTTGGGGAAGATTTTATTGGAAAGGGGAATACTCTATTGATGATACATCCTCTTGGACACCTGAATTGAAAGAAGCTCTTCATTATGATTATCTCAAGGGAAAAGATAAGGGGATTTTCTGGATCGAATGGGAAACCATGGCAAATGTCTTTGAGATTATTGAGATGAATTGGAATCCGAGTATGCTAAAGTAAGAAAACTCTCTATTGTCTAGATTATTTTCAGATATCTTTTAAGCTCCATTAAATCTAGGATGAGATACATTCTAATTATATAGGTATAGCGCAACCAAGTTTGGTCTTTGGAGGTTTGAGGACATGGTGGATGGGTTTGAAGATCTTTCAAAGACCCCTCAATTTGTTCTCAAGTACATGCCCAATGAAGGCGATCTGACTTGCAGTACTTATCTCTGGGTTGTCCTGAGTAGACTCATTCTTGATGATAATGAAGACTTCTCAGAAAATGAAGAAGGCAAAGAAGTAGATTACATATCGGTACACTTGTTAGAGAACAAGCATAAAGGAGGAGTATTGCACAAAATGAAGAATATTCTTCAGAAAAATGTCTTTACTACTGAACTCACCTATACCTTCAGAATTCATATTGAAGAACATCTTCTCAAGAGAACTCTGAGTTTAATAGTAGCTCAAGATTCACGGAGAAAGGATCTTTATTACAGTTTGAGAATATTTAGTAATGTAAACTTTGCACTTGATAAGGCTGAATCTTATGAGAATCAATACGAAATCCCAGTTGAGCAAGAAGATGGAGGAGGTACTCCAAATGATGACTCATTTTATCTTAATCCTCATATCTTCTTTAAGGCAAAGAGATCATCTCCAAAGAGATTTAACTGATGGCTGTCTTACAATGTTCATGGATATGACACTGCAGTTAAGATATTTTTAATGAGGGCTAGTAAGCCAGAGAGGATAGAATATATCACGACTGACAACCAAGTTGGAGATGATGACTCTCCTTACTACAATAAAAATTGTGCTACCCACTTTATTCTGAACAGAGATCAATCTTATATGGCAGTTGTGTCTAGTTTCAATCAAGGCGATCCCATTCCCGGAGTATTCACAATCAAGTCCAATGTGCCTGTGACTTACAAGCTATTAGATCCTCTTTAAGTGATTTCAATTGTCCAGAAATGATTGGGGTTTTGGGGTTTTGGGGTTTTGGGGTTTTGGGGTTTTGGGGTTTTGGG